GCCCTGTTACTGATAAAAACTTTCTGCGACTTTATGCTCTATGGTATGTTTTTATGTTTCGTTTTTTTTTTGTTTTTTCGTTTTTTGGCAGAGGTTTTAAAGTTCTCCAAAACTTTTTTGTTTTCATTTAAAAATTCAACTTCTAATGCAAGTAAGCAAATTCAGTTTATTGGAAAAGATTTGTGGTAACAAAAACATAGTGAAACAACCTTTTTTCCAGTATTTCCAATTTGTACATGAGCGTAGTAATGACTCGTTCTGTGTTCTGATATGCAAGCAAACAAAATTGAATGCCTAACACTTCTATAGCAAATCCCTATACAGCTTAGGTGTAGGTATTAATATGACTTTATGCTAAAAAGTGCTTCTTCTTTTCATTTTGTCAAATTCAAGTCCATTCAACAATTTTTTCGATTCGTTGCATACCCATGGTAGACCAGTGAATGCAGTACTGATTCTTTTTCCATATAAGCGATATGAAAGTAAGCATGTACCACCATACCCAAGACCCATCCGGTAACTTATTAATTGCATACAAATTCCATTGTTACACTGACACATAATTCAAACCAGCAAGCACGTAGCACATTTTCCAAGCGTTCCATTGTAATGAGCGCGCATGCGCCGGTAATGCATTTAAACTCAATTCACTGTTGTGAGCACATTTCGATGTTAAAATTATGTTAAAATGCAATAAAATTTATTTTTTTAATTAAAATATTTTGCTTAAAATTGCTTTAAACTGCAAACTGACTCAGCAAAATTCTTACTGTTGTGTCAGTTTTCGAAGGATTTACAAAATTGTTTTTTTTTGTGCTGTGTACTTGTACTCTGGTTGGCTCTCCGTTTGGTTTTGCTAAGATGTAAGCTTCTGTAAGATACATTTGTGTATTGTTGTTGTTATTGTTGTTGTGGAAAGCTTTTTCTACACTCATTTTACCATTTTGTCATTTCACAATTTCAACATTGTATCTGTGTTGCTGGCCTAGTGTTGCGCCAGCATTCATGCGGTCATTTTGTACCAAATAAAATTTTCGTTCATAATAAAAACGTAGCATACTTCCTGGCGTCCGCTCGCAAATAAACGTGCAATTCAAGTGAAGTGAAAATTTAAAAATAAAACACACAAATCGTTTTTAAATGAAACAAAAGTTATGAATTAAAAAATTTTTAAGAAAAATTACTATTTTCAAAAATAATCCATCAATTTAAAATTAAAAGTGTTTTTAACAAAAGTTGGTATATGTATATGTAGATGCAAGAAATTATAAAAATTTCATTACAAAACAAGCGCTGTTGACTGACTTAAGTGTAATTTCATAATGAAATGCATTCCAATTAAAAGGACTACAGTGCGAATAGTGTGCGTTTATTAATGCGTGCATTGTTATTGTTATTATTACTGCTGCTGCAGCCTCGACTATTGCGCTTCTGCTGTTGCAGTCATCGCAAGAATTACAGTAGTGCATTTAATTTTGGATTCCTCGAAATGAAAATGAGTACATAAACAAAAGCTTAAAAGTTGTATATGTCAATTTACCAGTAGTGATTTCTGCTACAGTTGAAATTTTTATTCTTTTTAAAACGATTCCATTTATTTCACAAGTTTTTTTTAAATGAATTTAAGAGCAGTTATTATGTTAAAATTTTTCTTTTGTGGCACACTGCATACCTTGTACGCTTTCTGTACTTAATCATTATGAACTAAAGTCTATGTATGTTATAAAGAAATCAATCATAAAGTATTATTAAAGTGTTTAAAATAATAATTTTTAATAATTATATTTTAAGTATAACTACATGTGAATATCTGTAACACACCTTTCTTCTCCATACTTTAGCAAAAGTATTATTTAGAATTCAATACATAATACATAGGTTAGTTTTTGCTAAAAAATTGCACAAATTTGTAATGAGCATAAAAACAATAAAGTAGTTGATTTCGATCTAATATTTCTTTTTAATTTATAGAAAACTTTAGACAACAAAATATTCTATAAGAACATAGCGATTGAGGATCTGATAATAGTAGTAGCATCATAATGAACAGTAGCGTCGAAGTGAATTGGTCATTTTCACTACTTAGACTTCCTAAATTTAATACCTCGTTAATACGTTCCTCAGTAAAAGGTAAAATTATGAAATTGGTATTCCTCAGTTCAAAAACCAATTTGCGCGGCATTTTCAAAAACGATTTCCCGATCAACGTTTTACAGAGTGTATAACTATTTATAATGTTATGAAGAATAAAAGCGTAACTTAAGTGGCTCACAATTTTATGTTAAAAAAGACATTCAAAAATCTTCACTTGAACAATTTGTTTCAAATATTTTTATTCGAATAATTTTAAGCAAATATTTTGTTACGAATATCATATATTGATTGAACTGAAATTCGAAATATTTAATATATATTAATGACTTTTATAGTCCAACAAGTCGATTTATGAGGACATATTCAATCCAAATATTTCCTCATAACTATCATACATCATATACGATGGACTAAGATACGGATTAAATCATAATGACATATAATAATAACTATTGTAATTCATTAAATCTATTATTGTTATAGTTCCTTAACAATTTGAATTGATTAAACGTATACAATCAAATTATAATTGTATTAGCAGTGACACTATAACTCTATGATAATAAGAAAAAAATTGTATTAAGCTTATTACTTCCTCACTTACTATTGCTGCCATTTGCTCTTACTTATCCATTGCAGTGCATTTCTAAAGAAACACGTGACAATAATACCTATAAAGAAACCTTAAATAAGCACTAAATATAATAAAACATAACAAAGCACATTACTTTGAGGTGTTAGTTCGAGACTAACTACTTTACTGTTTTTATGCTTACTTATTTGTATAAATTTTTGCCAGTTACAAGACAATACTAAATACTTTTTAAGGAAAGTCTGTAAAATACCAATCAAAGGTTGTAATAGCTTCTTAATGTGATGATAAATGCTTTTAACAGAAGCATACTTTCAGGCTAAAAATACATAACTTTCTGACACTACAAAGTCAAAACTATTTTTATATTATATTAAAGGTTTTGTGCAATTTTTTTTGGAATATTTTCAGTATCATCTCTAATTTTGAAGATTGTGCAATTATAGCATACATTAAGATACTCTTTTATTGTAGAAAGTAAGAGTGATGTGGAAATGCAAGTAGATTTCTAATCATTTCTAATGAATTTCTCTTTACCAAGTTAATTAATTTCAAGAAAGAAATTTAAGTACTTTATAATATATAACCTATTTGTTTTTCTGCTGTAATATAACACTACAACCTGGATTAGTGCTTCGTTAGTTTATCATTACGCTAAATTCTCTATGTCAAAGACAAAGCTGTAAAGCTTACGTTGAAAGTCTTACTAAGAAGAAGGGCTAACAGTTTTTACCTTGACTGGAACGTTATACCACGTTTACAAATTAAGCTATTTAGTTCAAGACAGATACGATTATCAAGTTAAGCTTATTTAATCAAACAACAACAAGATTGTTGATGTTTTAAATTGATTGTTGTAGCATGGGCCTTTGGTATGTGCTTCATATCAGGTCTAGCACCAATCTCTAGGTGCAATATTTCCTTCTCACTTTTAAACATGTATCTCAATAAAATAAGAGAATATATGTTGAATATTTAATATATGATCTTAAACATTTCTCAATATAAGGCAACATCTACTATTCGATATATCTAAAAAAAGTTGAGCAGATCTTTATGCAAGGACATTAAAAAGTTCTACATCAAAATAATTACACTTGTAATAGTTCTAATATTATTTTTTATTCTAACTATTATGTTATAAATGTCTTTACATTCAACGGCAAGTTGACTTAAGTGGTTAATATGAAAGAATATTAAAAAAAGGTATTTTTTGAATTGCAATGCTGTTATTGTTTCCATAGTACTGATGTATCAAAAAACATATGACTATAATGAATCAGTATATAACTTCAAAACTACAAATTGTTGATGGTAAAATAGCACTAATTTTGTATGTTAAATTTTAATTTTCAATGCACATTTATGCCATTCCCATATAATTATTGAGAATATTTTCATGTGAGAGTCATTCAGACACCACAAAACAGTGGGTATTTTTTGTTGAAGGCTATAAAAACTAATGAAGTTTTAAATGAATCCCACAGTTCAAATATATACTGAGTGGCTTTTTTGTGTCAAAATTCATAGTAACCTTTAAAAGTAATTAATTTGGAACAAATTATGCTAACGTGTATATGCCCACTGCTTTCCATTATGGGGCTATATTAGCCAATGATGTATAAAAATGTGAAGAAAATAGTCATTCAACTCTGACATATTCTTAGTTCTGCTTAAGTTTAACTTTAACATTTTAAGTACGAGTATTTATTTAAAATTTAAAATCATGAAATGCAACTAACAAACTCAATGTAGTAGGCATTGTACCGAAACGATTTTACTGAGTTCTCATATTTAACGTGGGATTAAAGCAAAATAAAATTATGTGAATATTTTTCCAAACAATGTTAAAATTTGCAAGTGAGTACACATAAGCAAATAAACAAATTTTAGAGAAATAAAATAAAAACAAACAATGTTTTCTTTTGTGTATCCTTAAGCAAAGATATTTTCTGTGTAAGTGTGTGCACCTACACAAATCCTTATTTGCATACTCTGGAAGATATGGGCATGTTCATACATAAATTCACTCATTTATTTGCCATAGCTGCTTAATTTTCCGTTCGCGCTTTCTGGAATTGTTGTATATATCGCAGGTTTTGTGGAACCAGAGTCTCTTTAATGTTACGCCGAAAGTGAAATACAAACTATTTGCGAACTAATTTAAAAAATATTAGCAAATGTACACATAAACCAT